TCTAGCTTACTTTATTCCAAGAATACAGTATACAATATAAATAACATACAAAATATGTGTTGACCAGCTGTTTATGTTATCAGTAAGATTTCTGGTCAACAACAGGCTGTTAATAGTTAAGTTGGGTGGGGGTGGGGGGGTGGTCAAAAGTTATACTGCATGATTTTTGACTGCCAGCAGGGTGTTGGGTGTCCCAGTCCCCAATGTTGTTCAAGGGTCAACTGCATATATACCTTTCTCACTTCTTCTGTCAACTGTATAGCATTCCATTAGACTCTATATGAAGGATGCCTTTATCAATTCACACAACATATAATTGCCCTGAGAGTGTGTTAGAGTAGATCCTGTTCTGGTATTGGAAAATCAAAAGGAACAAAGCAGGGGAGCCTGGATGGCTCAGTTGGTTGAGTGTCCAACTTTGGCTCAGGTCATGATCTCAGGGTTCGCGAGTTCAAGCCCCACGTTGCGCTTGCTGCTTTCTGTGTGGAGGCTGCTTCACATCCTCTGTCCCTCATTCTCTCTGCCCCTCCCCCACTCATGCTCTGTCTCTCCAGAACAAACAAACATTAAAAAAGAAAAGTGAACAAAGCAAAGTCCTTGACCTGATGGAGTTTCCATGCCAGTGGGGGCAGGGGAGGAGTCAGACAAGTAAATTATAGCAGGTCAGCTGGTGATAAGACCGAGAAGAAAAACAAAGCAGGGCATAGGAGGTAGACATTGTGTGGAGTGGGCAAGGAGGAGTTGCTATTTAATAGAGTGTGATCAGGGTAGGCCTCTCTAATAGGGTAAATTCAAGCAGAGAACTGAAGAAGCATGGCAGACTTACTATCTGGGGGAAGAATGTTAAGACAAAGGCAACACCAAGTGTAAAGTCCCTAAGGTGAGAACATGCCAGGTAGTATTTGAGAAGGCAAGGTGGCCGGTGTGGATGGAACCTAGTAAGGAAGGGAGGTGGCAGTAAGAGATGGCCAAGTGGTGAGAAACAGACCACGCAAGCCTTTATGTGCCATTTTAAGTACCTTTGAGCAAACATGACTGAATCACTCTCATCGGTTGAAAACAGATTAAAAGGCAAAGAAGGTAGGAGCAAAGAATCCAGTGAGGAGGCTACTACCATAACCTTAGTGGGGGACAACGGTTTAGTTCAAGTAGTAGTAGGAGTAGTAGTACGAGTAGTGAAGAGGTTAGAAGCAGTAGGAATCTGAACATAACCGTAATAGTAAGATTTACTGATGGATTTGTAACTGGGATATAAAATAGAAGAGACAAGAATGACTCCATGGTTTTTAAACAACTAGAAGGAGAGAATGGACAGTTACTGAGATGTGGAAGGCTGTTGAAGAAATGGGTTTGGATTGAATTCAGTTTTGGACATGTTAGGTTTGATATGCTTATCAGACATAAAGAAAAGTCTAGAAGCAACTGACTACACACATTTGGAATTCGGGGCAGGGCTCTGGGCTGGAGATATAAACTTGGAAGTGCTCTGCGTATGGGTGATAACTAAAGCAAAGAAACTCAATGAGATTATGTAGAGAATAAAGGTAGACAAAAGTCTGAAGACTGAGCCCTGGGGCACTCCACTGTTTAGAGGTCTGGGAAATGAGAAAGAACAAAAAGAGTGGAAGCGGAGGGGAGCACAAGAGGACGTGCTTGGAGAAAGGAGTCATCAGTTATGGCTAATGAATCATGCTGGACAGATACATTCTGAGGACTGATCACTGGGTGCAGCAGTGTGGAGGTCACAGACACCCTCGATACAAGTTCCTGTGAAACACCGGTGAAGGGGAACCACTTCCGGATTTCTGCAATAATAAACAATGCAATAAACATCTTCATATAGTTTTATGGGAATAGAATTCCTGGGTCCCAGGACATGTAAATTTAACACTCGGATACAAACCAACTTGTCCAAGAGACTGCACCCATTTAGAGTCAGTATAAAACTTGCATGTGTATCTAAACTATAATCTACACTGAGAATTATCAAATGTAACAATCCTTAACACTCTGACAGGTCAAAAGTGTTATACCTTGTTTTATTTTGCATCTCTCCACGGCTGAAGTTAGGCAGTTTTCATGCTATTAGTCATCTGTCTTCCCTCCACCTACCCCGTAAAACTGCCTGCTAATTAATAGCTTTTGCCTATTTGTCAGGAAACTGCTGGTCTTTATTTATTAAAAACGTTTTTTTAAATAAGTTAATGTTAACTCTTTTGCTTTCTTCTTTCTTTAGACTACTAAGCTTATATCCTGGCTGGAACTGCAGAGAAGCAAAGAGATCCAGAACTGTACCAAACCATTTAAGCCTTTGTTTTTCACATTTATTTCCCTGTTCCTTCTTCAGACACGTTCATTTCTTACTCTTCTCTGCCATCTCTCCTCTCCATGAGAACAATCTGGCTATAGCACCTGCACTCCTCTGACAGCCCGAGTGCACTAGCTGATAGGACTGAGGAAGCCGTTATCCACGTGCACCCATCCCAATACCTTTTTTGGAAGGCTCACAATAGGGGACCGAGTTTTGCTGATCGAAATCCTGGGTACTTAGCTACATGCCTGTCACATAGTGAGCATTCAGTAAGTATTCGTGCAATAAACAAAGGGAACTCCCCTCAAGTGAAATGGAAATAGCTTTCAAAAAGGCAATAAAAGAACATAAGGACAAACAAACCTCTGATTATCCAAGGTTTTACCTGGGAAAGTTAGCTTGAAGATGAAGATTTAATGGTCAGTGAATAGTAAACAATGTAATTTTTACACACACGCACAGACACGCGCTCTGTAAGCATACTATAGAGAACCACAACATTCTCACACAAACTATGCCATACTACTGTCAGGCCCACACACAGGACTGTATTGGTCAATTCTCCAATTTTGTTTCTGACACCCACAGATAAAATTAGACCCTCTTCACACAAGAAGTCTCTCCATTCCTCTGATGCTTAAAAAAATTCTCTAAGTTTAAAAGCTATAATATCTCTTTGAGAAAAAGCAATAATAACGGTAAGAAAGTATTCCAAGTTGTGCACAATGGTTCGCTAATTACTTCATAATTTTTATTTCCTTTCCTTAAGGCACCCACCCTTTTCATGGCCTTTTTGAATACAACTGCATGTGGATTAATGACTCAGAATTCACGAAACAAATAAAGAGGAAACTTAGGTTACAAGTGGAGCGAATGAACCAGGAGAAGAGAAAGAAATTTGGATCAGTGATGACTTTAGCTCTGAAAGAGGCCCCCAAAAATGGAAGAATAGGGCAACGGGGCTTTCCCTTGCTCTGTATCATCTGTGGTGGGGCACAGAAACCAAGAAAAATAACAACCCTGGAGTCAAACTGCACTAGATAATTTGATAAGTAAAAATGGGGTCAAACCTACTTGTTCTCCAAGGAGAGAGAAAGAAGTAAGCTGAGAACAGCAAACAGGTAGCCAAATACTCCTGGAAAAAGTATCTGTCCCAACACTGTGAAGAGGTGAGAGGAGGCAAGCGTACAGGTCACGCCAGTACCACGGAGGGGAGACAGACTGGCACACACACTACAGAATGCCCGCCTACCTGCTAACATTTTCTGACCTACACGCTGCTTCAAATAAGTGACGCTTGGAGTTTGGCGACTTTAATTAGACAAGTACTTTGGCTGTAACGGAATTTGATCTGTATCTTCTTCACTTCTTTGTCAACCTAAAACCGTATTTTCTTTCCCACGGTGTGCCCAGACTTTAACAAAGTAGTCCCTCTCACCCCCTGGAACCAAGGGACACTGAAGAAAACCACGCTACCTTTAGAAGGCACACAGTTAGTAACGGCATCATCTCTTCACGAACATAATTCCTCAAACTCCATCAAGGAGCTCGAGGGCAACACGGATCAGCATCAGGTCAGCCTTGGTACTCACTGACACAAAGGTGAAGCAGAGGCCAGCTCCCCTCTGCGCCAGCTGCTCCGTGTCAAGCCGAGGCTTCGCCAGCATCACCGACATGAGGGTTGGCAGAGCGGACTGCTCCTCCGACACCTCCTTTGCAGCGCTGCCATCTAAGCCATAGAGGGGCTGCTCTACCCGCCGCTGCAAAACATCAAAGAAACCCCACGGATTACATGAGAAAGCAGCCAGAAACTGCCAAAACACATAACGGATTAAAACACAGCGCATAGAAGAGTAATTTTTGCAAAACACCTTCTCTGAAAACAAATATGGACAGCATAATCACAGTGTCGCTGGATTATAACTTATCTGTAAATCTGGGATAGTATCTCACTTGAATTCTGTAAAATTAATTGTATTTTACAATTTTAATTGTTCCGTATTTCTACAACTGAAATTGCAGTTTACTTTGCAGAGTTCAACAAATCGACTTCACAATACCTTCAAACCTACAAAGGAAACATTATTTCTATCCTGTAGGTAAATGAGGATGAAGACATTTGTCCCCTAATTTACAGGAAGCTTATTTCACTCTCAATTCTATCCTTACCATGCTATACTTATATGCAAAAATCGAAAATAAATACAAGCAACACAATTTCCACAGAACACTAAAAGAATGATATAACACAATTATGTATGGTTTATTCCAGAAATTTAAGGATGGTTCATTATTAGCAAATCTACCAATATAATTCATTACATTAGTATTGGGGAGCGGAGATATCAAGATTCTTCCCTTTAGACGCCAAAAGAGGATTTGCACATTGTTGGGCAACGCTTAAAAACAAAAACAAAAAACACTGGGAGTATCCGTCTTTAATACAACACAGTATTTTTTTTCAGAGATGAACATAAATTAATGGTGCCATACCAAAGACACACTCAATAAAGTTAAGAAAACTAGAAAGGGGTTAACACATTAATATCACAATCATTCAACGTTATTACAGAAGGTTTAGCAATGTGATAAGGGGGGGAATGAGGTATAAACAAGGGGAAATATTAAAGATTAAAAAGTGTCATTTTTGGATGATATAACTATTCACAAAGGAAACTAAGCAAATCAACTGAAAAACAACAAATAAGAGCTCGGTAAGATGGTCGAATATAAAATAAATACACAAAAAACAACAGCTTCCCCATATACCAATAATTGATTATTATCAGAATATATAATGGAAGAAAAAGCAGATTCAAAATTTCAAAAAATCTATACGAGAGAAATAAGTTTAGAAATAAACTTAAGAAATATGGAGATTACATATAAGAAAAACTACAGATTCACTGGCAGATGTAAAAGATGATCTACACGGTAATACCATGGGCCTGCATTCAAATTTTATAAATGTCAAATTTCTTTAAAAGCCAACGCATGTGGCTTTTTATTTACTTTTGTTTTTCTTTTTTCTCTCTCTCTCCTGCTACGAGAGAGTGCTGTAGTGGTGCAGTGATCACAGTGTCACTCTTGCTCTCTTTTGGGAGTTGATTTGGTGGAATTTCACACATTAATTCTAAGATTCACTTGGAAAGATAATCAAAATTAGCCACACAACTTTTGATAAAGAACAGCAGGGAAACTTGACTAGTTATTAAAACATACCACAAAACAGCAAGACCACATCAGTATAATACCGGTATGTGAGCAGACAGATCAATCAGTGGCACAGGACAGAAAACTCAGAAACAGACCCCTATAATATGGATATATAATCTGTGATTAAACTGTGTTTCAGATTAGTGGGAATTTACTAAATAGATGGTAGGGTATTTGTATAGGTATCAGAAAAAAGTAGAAAAGCAGATTGCTTCCTTATACATAAAAATTACAAGGAAATACAAACAAGTATTTTTATGACTTTCTAGTGGTGAAGGACTTTTTAAGCATGACATTAAAAATACAAACCATTCAGGTATATCTCAGAATAACATAAAACCAGTAAGACATAAAGGAAAACAGTGACAAATTTGACTCCAAACTTTTTTTACTCCTGAATGGCAAAAGTCAACCTGAAGTTAAAAGATAAAATTATAAATAGGCAAAAATGTTTACCATATAAATGACAATGAGTTAACAACCTTAATAAATAATGTACTCCTCATCAAGAAGAAAAAAACAAACACTCTGATAAATAAATAGGCAAAGAACTTAAAGAAGCATTAAAAGAGAAATCCAAAAGGCCATTAAACTTATGAAAATATGTTTAATATCACTAATGAAGAAATGCAAGGTAAAACAAGGTATTCTTCTGACAAAATTACAGTGATAAACTTCAGTATTAGGAGGGTACACGGAAACTGGGACCTGCGAAGTGCTGATAATCTGCTAGCAATTATGTGATGACATTTTAAAGTAAGCATATTCTTTGACTAGGGAATTAGAGCTTGGAAATTTATCCAAAGCAAAAGAAAAGAAATGCGAAAGACACACACACACACACACACACACACACACACACACACACACACACGAACATTTGTTACGGCACTATTTAGAGGACAAAAAAAATGTTTACAGGATACTGGTTAAACAAATAAAAGAACAGAAATTAGGAAACTATTATATGAACATACATGTACACACATATATGCCCAGTAAACCCTTTAATAACAGTTCTGGAGGAGACCTGAATTGTTGGACTTTCATAACATGTATGTATCCCTTCATGAGGAAAAACTAACATTTTCATTTTAGAAAATAAAAGTAAAATAAACTAACCAAAATGATCCCAACAAAAGAATTTAGGTTTTTAATCTGTAAGCGGAGTCCACCTCCTCGAGGCCAACACTCCTACCCCAACCAAATGCAACTGTTTAAATTCAGGCTCCAATGTGCTTGTGATACCCATTCACAGCAATATCTGCACTACTTGGGAGACTATATCTCCGAAGCCCCAATACTAAAATTAATCATTCTGTTATGTACTCAATAAATGTTTGCCAAGGATTGAAAGATTTTATAGAATATTTCCGGAAATACAGCAGGCTAGGATGTTTGAACTAACCTTCCCTTAGAAAATGATTATAGAAACAGGACAAAACATGGGGAAAAAAAAGATGTTAAAAGCATTGAAGAGTTGATAAAATAAGGGATCTGCCAGGGCAAAAATCTAAGGGAAATTAGGACTGCAAGACACTTAAATGAAGCATTCAAGTCATATTTGCCCTAAGGGTACCTGCAGATCTTGACCATCCCGCTTACAGAGCACAAGGTGCCAAACGGATCGTCACAGGCCAAAGTCCACTGAGGGCAGGGGGTTCAATAAGGAAACCCTTCGCGCTTCAAGCTTCAAGGACTTTCAAAGGGTTACACTCTAAAGGAAAATGTAAAGCAGGAGAAAAATTTCCTCCACCCTCAGAGAACTACAAGGAAGTTGCCCTGGCAATACAGGGAGCGGGGGCTCCCCTGAGAAATGTTAACACAATCCAGATCAATACCGACTGGGTAGCTGAAACAAACAAACAAAATAAACCAATCAAACAAAATGCAAGCCATGAATTCAGCGGTTTAAAGTAGTACTGGATGGGTAAAATCTCTAGGCATTTGGAAGAAGCAAAGAAAAATTCTCCCTGGAGGAACACATCTTTTAGATCTCAAACAAATTTCACAAATAATTTTTCAGGAAAAATGAGCGGCACACAGTCAAAAAACCAAAGAAGCGTAAAAGAAATAAAGCCCTGAGCAACAGCTAGGGAAAACAACAGACAACAAATAGATTCATAACACATCAAATGCCAGAATTATCAAATACAGATTATAAATACTCTACTAAATAAATAAATAAAAGACAAACTTGAAAATATCAGCAGGGAACACAATAACAAAAATTAACAATTCAGTGCAGTTGGACAGCCTGGGTGGCTCAGTCGATTGAGTGTCCAACTTCGGCTCAGGTCGTGATCTCAACGTTTGCAAGTTCAAGCCCCACATCAGGCTCACTGCCGTCAGCACAGAGCTCATTTCAGACCCTCAGATCCTCTGTCCCCCTCTCTCTGCCCCTTCCCTGCTTGCGCTCTTTCTCTCAAAAATAAATAAACATTAAAAAATAATAATAATAATTCAGTGAGGTTAACAGCAAATTAGATGCAACAAAACAAGAGAATCTGGGACCAGAAAGGCAAGAAACTATCCAGAGTGGAGCAAATGGAGACTAAGAGAAAGTAGAAAAAAGTCAAAAGGCAAAGTGATAAGGTGAGATGGTGTGACACACAATTAATTGGAATTTCATAGGAAAAAGAAAAAGAGAACAGGGCAGAGACAATATCTGAAGAGACAATGGCTAATAATTATCCAGAACTGGTACAAGACCCAACAAAAAACGCTAACACATTACGAACAAGAGAAATAAAAGGATGCATCATAGTGAAACTGCAGACCACCACAGATGGAAGATTTTTAAAGCAGCCAGGGGAAAACAAGAGCAGATAATTTCAAAGAAATGAGAGATACATGAAAGTTGTTTTCTCAGTAGTAACAATGGGAGTCAAAAGATGGTAATAATACATTCAGCTGTTAAGAGAAAAAAAATGCCAATGTAAAAATATACACAGCAAAAGTATCTTTCAAGAATAAAAGCAAAATTAAGTACTTTAAGCAAACAAAACCTAGACAATTAACTCCTCAGCAGATACATATAAAAGAATACTAAAGGAGTACTTCAGGTAGAAGGAAAGGGACCCTAGGTAGAAGACGTAAGATGCAAAAAAGAAGTACAAAGAAAGAGGTAAATGAACACTGACAGTAAAATAGATGAACAGTGACAATATAAACTAATAATGTTGTATGAGGCTAAAAAAAAACAAACAAAAGCAAAATACAAACATACACCACCACCACCACCACCACCAACATAGTAGCAAGTAAATGGAGTTAATGTTCTGAGGTCACTGTTTATTTCGGAGGAGGATAAAGATACTATTAACATCAAACTTTGGCACACTGAAGATATGTGTGGTAATTTCTATGAGAAACACCGAACAGGACCTAGCTTCTAGTGGAGAATGAGAATACACAATGATTAACCTGCCCCCCCAAAAAAACAACAACCCAAATAAAGCAAGAAATGAAAGAAAAGAGAATATGCAGCATGAATAGAAAACACATTAAAAGATGGCAAATAAATGCTAAAGGGGCGCCTGGG